TGGGGGTGAGTGATAGTCTGCTTTGATTTTTGTCACAGGTACCTTGAGGGCAGTGGTTGGTGCCCACCTCAAGGTATTAGTTGTTGGGCAGTCGTTGATGCTTAACACAACCAGGGTTAAGGTGGCTTATCACTTACAGTGTAATCAGTTAGGGGTCTCTGCAGACTGTAGAGGGTTCAACCTCCTAATGAGTTTTTGGGCAGTAGTTGATGCTTAGCACAACAGGGGGCTAAGGTGGATTATCACTTACAGTGTAATCAATTAAGGGACTTTGCAGACTGCAGAGGGTTCATCCTCCTGACGAGTCGGTGAAACTCCAACGAAACCGTTTTTCACAACCCCTCGTTTGTTGTCCTCTTCTCCCTCTTTGTCTCCTGCTTATTATTATAAGGCTATTTCTTTAAGCCCAACAAATTCAATTACCTGTCGAATTTGGACAGGACGGTCTTTCAGACCATTTTTTATTGTCATTATAATATTACGGGGAACCCCGTAACAGCCACATCCGTGCTCAAGCCTCCACCGAGGAACATGCAGGAGCTGCACCCACCAGTAGGTGCAATACCTGCTACAGCAGGTGGGTGATACCAGTCAGGGGTCAGACAGTAGCATCAGGACCGAGCTTTTTCAATGGGCCAGTCACTGGGCCTCCTCTTCGGTCCCCTCCCCCTATGAACATCAACAGTTTGTGCTCAATGCCACTCGGGGGGAGCAACGACATATCTCTTGGTGGCAGGCGCCAAGCTTATGCCACTTGCGTGCCTTACCAACTGAGCTAGGCCGCTGGATTTTGCCTCCTGATTGCCTGGCAGGGTTTTGTTAAACGATATATATATTGTCTTCTTCTCTCTCTATGCCTACGGTTTACCGGGCAGCTCTGTTTGACTATATATATATATATTTTATATATATATATATATATATATATATATATATATATATATATATATATATATATATATATATATATATATATATATATATATATCGTCACAAACAAAACTGCCTGGTAAAACCGTAGGCAGAGAGAGAAAGAAGAGGACAA